TCTCCTTTTGTGTGATTTTTAAAAATACTTCAATCTACAGCATGACTATTACATGAACAAGGCCTCCAAATTATTAAAACCACACAGAATTTTTTGTCACAGCAATCTCTCACATCTCATTGTTTTTTAATTTGTTTAAAAGCCTACATATCTTTCAAACACATACACCAAACACATCCCAAATTACCATGTACAACAGAGAAGAGAGCAAACACTCCTTTGTTATATTCTCACCAGAATCCTTATTTTAAACAAGGAGATAAAGTGATTCTTCCCACAGTCATTCAACAAAATGGAATATAATAAAGTCGTCACTGACCAGCTAACAATATCTAACAAAATTGATTTGAAGAGTTAATCAATGGTTAATGGAAGCCTTTGCGATTCATTAGAGTATTAGCACAGCACTGAGCCTGGAAAAATGGTACACATACAGACACATGCACATACATACATATATTTTAAATTTTATTTTATTTATTTATTTATTTACTTACTTACTTATTTGTTTATTTATTATTATTATTATTAATTAATTAATTAATTTATTTATTTATTTATGGCTGTGTTGGGTCTTCGTTTCTGTGCGAGGGCTTCCTCTAGTTGCGGTGAGCGGGGGCCACTCTTCATCGCAGTGCGCGGGTCTCTCTCACTGTCGCAGCCTCTCTTGTTGCGGAGCACAAGCTCGAGACGCGCAGGCTCAGTAGTTGTGGCTGACAGGCCTAGTTGCTCCGTGGCATGTGGGATCTTCCCAGACCAGGGCTCGAACCCGTGTCCCCTGCATTGGCAGGCAGATTCTCAACCACTGCGCCACCAGGGAAGCCCCATACATATATTTTAAACATACTTCTGATGTCTCTATTGAGAAATCCATTAACGTGAAGAAATCTTAAGAAAGGCATCTTTAAAACCCATTTCAAATTTCATTTTATTTATTTTAGAGTAAGTTTCCATACAAATCTTAAGCTATACACAACTAAGCTACTTCTAATCCCAAATGTTAGAGTTCCTAAACAGTAATCCCAAACCAGAGTTCCTAAACAGTAATCCAATACAAAATTTAAATGCAGGAACTACTTAGTGAGATTTTTCTGGAAAATTTCAACTGCTGAAAGGCAGTGAAGGGAAAAAAACTATGTTTTGTATGAAAATAAAAAAGCTAAGTGGGGCTTCCCTGGTGGTGCAGTGGTCGAGAGTCCGCCTGCCGATGCAGGGATCACAGGTTCGTACCGCGGCCCAGGAAGATCCCACATGCCGCGGAGCGGCTGGGCCCGTGAGCCATGGCCGCTGAGCCTGCGCTCCACAACGGGAGAGGCCACAACAGTGAGAGGCCCACGTACCGCAAAAAAAAAAAAAAAAGCTAAGTGCTAGCAGCAAATTAGTTAACTTAGTAAAACCTCACTGAGGAATAATCTAAGGTATACAGGGTAACAACTGAGTCAAGAAGGGAAGAAAGCTTTTCTCCAATAGAAAGCTACTTTAACAGAGCGGCAATTATTCTAAACCAGTATGTAAACTCCAACTGAGATTTCACTCTATTTTATAGACACTCACTATTATGTGACACCACTAATAACCAAACACTCAATTCCAAAAACAACCTGTTCAGGCTCAGTTGCCACTTTTATCTTGATAGAAAAGGTACTGGAAAACCAAATAAAACCATCGTTTGTTAAAACAAATATATTCAGAAGTGTATAGTAAATATAAAAATACATGGAAATGTTTAAGAAAACAAATTAGGTGAATTTTAAACATAAGCAGTAATATTTAGTATGAAAAATACATTTACCCATGTGACTACCACAGAACTAAATGCCACATTGTTATAATTAAAAACTGACAAATCTACAAACTGTGTTTAACCCAGAACAGAGAACTTTTTCTCAATTAAATAAATACAAACAGAAAAAAACCCAAACCTCCTTTTTTTTGGGCCATGCCATGCAGGCTTGCAGGATCTTAGTTCCCAGACCAGGGATCGAACCTGGGCCCAGGCAGTGAAAGCGCCGAGTCCTAACCACTGGACCACCAGGGAATTCCTGAAACCCAAACCTCGTTTCCCAAAAAATTCAACTTTGATATTGAGAACATTTTTCCATTGATCAAAATCCAGTAAATTCAATTACCAAAATAGCCTAAATCACCTCTCCAATCCCAGTCTCTTTACTCCTTTACTTTGCCCTTATAGAGCACATAGACTGATTTTTCCAAAACATGTATTTTGGTACAGCACCTTCACTCAAAAAACCTCAGTGTTACCCATGACCAGATCCTCCCAGTGCTTAAAGGACATCAAGTTCAAATTCCTTAGCCTGGTAACCAAGGCTCCAACCTTCCTTTCTGGCCTCCTCTTAGAAGTCTCCTAGAGGAATCTTCTCCAGTCAAATCATTTTACCCACTGACTTCAGAATACCTCATGCTTTCATAATTAACAAAATATTTTATTCTTCTTAAGATTAACACTGTGGAAACCAAAGCAAAATTTTCTAAACATGTTTAAAAGCTGGTAAGAATGAAATGTATTCAAACCTTATATATTTTAAGAGAGTAAGTTAATGTCTAGTTATCACCTAAAATAACTGAAAAGATTTGGTAAAGAAGCAGACCCACATCTTCTCTCAAGATTTTAAGATACGCATATGGCAAGGCTTCCATTCAATTTCTGAATGAAAACTTAAGTGAAAGAACTAGGTTGGATAAGACAAGAGATTTTGGAAACCCTGGACAGTTTCTACATACTTGAACTTCCCTGATAATATTTATTCACCATGAGGACCCAAACTATTTCTAAATTCTGCAGGCCAGTAAGTTACCACTACTTTTCCAGGGTAAGTATTCCCTAATTCACCCTACAAATGTTAAAAAAAATTTTTTTGAGTTGTTTTAGAGGAAAAATAACTTTATTTTCATAACCACAAATAATTGGTAAGTTTTGGCTGTTATCAGCACACCTCTGAGCACTGAAGATATCCTAAACTTAAGAAACAAAACTTTAACTTTCTCCAAAATATTAAATAGTTTAAAACTTAAACTAAACCACTGGATTAACATTAACTAGAACATAATGGCATAAAGACAGTTCCCCAGATCCTAAATCCCTTTGCTAAGATATTTACTTTTGGGGACTTCCCTGGTGGCGCAGTGGATAAGACTCCATGCTGCCAATGCAGGAGGCCCGGTTTTGATCCCTGGTCAGGGAACTAGATCCCACATACTTGCCACAACTAAGGACCCTGAGAGCTGCAACTAAGGAGCCCGCCTGCCGCAACTAAGACCCAGCGCAACCAAACAAATAAATAATTTTTTAAAAAGATATTTACTCTTTGTAGGAACAATATCTGACATTTATGGAAGAAGGAAAACAAAATAAAAAACCTCTTTCACAAAAAAGAAAACACCAAGACTTGGTTTAAAATTCTCAGAGGACAAAGTGTATATCAACTTGATACCTTATGGTAAATCAGTTTCTTACTGGAGACACTGACAACTACACAAAAAAGAGGGTGAGGCAGTATCTGAGATATCAGATCATCTACTGAATAATAGAGTCCTTAAACTAAGAGATCAGCAGCCTCTGGAGCTATATAACAGCTATCAAAAGGATTATCCCCATGTATCTCATTAGCAAATCTATAGCAAAGGTAGAAAAAAAGAAAGGCAAGAATCAAAGAAGAATATAGAAGAAAGGAGTAGAGAGTCAAGGGAAGAGCTGGGAGTAAGGACAGAAAGAAGGGGAGAGAACTAAATGTAAAAGACTAGGAAAAGAAGGAAAAAAAATCAACAAAAAGAGAGGAGGTGTTGTTGAGGTACATTTGCCTCAGGGACATTACTCCCAAAGGTAATATACCACTCCCAGTAAGTAACTGTCTGATAAGCTATTTTAAGAAAGTTTTAGGAAAACCATTCTTAGGAAATCTGATTCCTGTGAAGATTTAAACCCAGAATCTATCTTTTTCTAAATGCTCTCAAACTGTATTCTTTTATCACATTTTATTACAATTACTGTAAATTATAAATTTTTATTTTTGAGTTTTAGCTAGAATCTGTTTGATAAGTTCTAAATCTAAGTTTAAATTAACACCTGATTTGTAATGCTCTGTAAAAGAATTGGTGAGGTGAATGGGCCTGGAGCTACTGGAAATACAGAAAGTATTTTAAGGAGAAGAATTTAGTAAAAATTCAAAGTCAAGAAGAGTTAAAGAGTAGCCATTAAAGGCAGAAGATATGAAATATTAATTAAGATTCTACTTTTGTTTGGTCTCTCCAAAACAAAAGGGTATTCCTAATTGGTCTGGGTATCCTCAGTAGGACTCACTGAGGGGATGTTAGTGAGAATTCTTTTAAGATGTTTGAACCTCTGAAAACACTACAGGCTCCAATAATCTTTCAATGTCATAGGGAAGACTGTGTGACCTTAGAATCTCTTCATAGCCTTTTCTTATACCATTCTTTTGACTGGAGGGCTCAATAACTAAACAATAACAGGCACTTAAGTCTTTCCTTTTTGACTTCAGAATGTATTTTTTTCTTTGTTCACCAGGAAAAGACCCTTTTCAAAACTGACCCACACCTCGAAGGTTTTACCTAAAAGTATCACCATGAAGTAAATGGCATAATTTAGCCAGAATAATTTCTGAATCATTCTATCTCTAAATTCTGAATCAGAGTTATCACTGAAAGGTTTGGTTCTTCGGGTTTGGCTTTCTGTGCATTTTCTCCAACTTTCCAGCTGCCTTACACAGCCATTATCCTTCTACCCTCATTCTTTACTTTCCTCCTATATGTACAGACACACACAAAAAGAATGTCAGTACCACTATGTATATATGCATGTATATTTATGTGTGTATACATGTATATGTGCACACACAAAAAAATACACATGGCCAATATAAGAGTATAAACCAAAGACATAAAGAACATTGCAGAATAGGAATAAATTCATTTATTCTTATTTCTAAGATAAAACAAAACTGTGGTTAGCTACTACAACTCACCAGATGGTTCCTCAGGCTCACTTTCATTTTCTTCTTCAGGTGGGGCTTGAGGGGGTGGTGGGGGAAGCTTCTTTTCCTTCTCTGCTTTAGCATTTCTCTCTTCTTCTGAATAATACTCATCTTCTGAGAGGTTGGCCAAACTTTCATCCATCTCTCTGTACTCTACCTATATGGAGATCATACCAGGGAAAGCTAAATACAATGGACATCTGAAGTCAGAAACTCAGTTTGGAACCATCAGTAAATATGAATTGTTTTCTAACTTCAATTTTTAAGGAAAATAAGCAAATGACAAGGAACAAGCTAGCTCATAACAGGTAACCATTAAAAACAAAATCTCTCATGAAATAATCTTGTGTCAGTTCAGATTTAGCCCAAACTGTAACTTTTACACCATAGTACTGAAATTCAAATCAATGACTCTGAGGCTCTCTACAAATAAAAATTAATTGTGTGTTTGTGTGTGCATCTATACGTATGTATATATCATATTCATATACTGGAAGTTTCAACAAAAGACTAAACTAGCCCTCAGTCAGACAAAAATACAGTTAGCTAGAATAACAAGTCTGTCTAATGCCAATCTGTACTTCTAACTACTATTCCATAGGTAAATAGCAAAAGAATTCTAGAGGGCTTCCCTGGTGGTGCAGTGGTTGACAGTCCGCCTGCTGATGCAGGGGACACGGGTTCGCGCCCCGGTCGGGGAGGATCTCGCATGCCGCGGAGTGGCTAGGCCCATGGGCCATGGCCGCTGGGCCTGCGCGTCCGGGACCTGTGCTCCGCAACGGGAGAGGCCACAGCAAAAAAGAATTCTAGAAACCAAATTGAGGAATGGGGAGGGTGGGCAGGGAATAAAAGTTGCAAATGGCAATAGTCAAAATGAAACAATAAAACGGTACATTTGCTTAAAACAAAAACAAAACACTGGTGACCTAAGAGAGTTGAATGATGAGAGCAAAGAATCCTTATTACAACAAATTAAGGAGACTACAAGCCTTACTACTAATTCACACGGGTTACAAAGGGGAAAACCAGGTAATAAGTAGAAAGAGGAAGCAGTCTTAATGAATGTTTTATTGGGGGGTAAAGCAACTTAGGATAGGGAAGATTATTATGGACCGCTTTGTTAAAATGTGTAATGTGGTATTACAAATAGTCATCAATCTTGGAACACTGTCAAATCATCATTTTGACCCCTACCCTAACAAGAAACAAGAGCTCTCTATTCTGGACTGAATGAAAAGATAAAATGAATAAAATAAAAAGTATTTATTGGAGGTGGAGACAGGGCAAAGACAACATGGCTTCCAAATATATTAGATTTCTGAAATGCATCGTCCTGTGGACTACAGTGAATGTAATCTATTTTAACTTTCGAAATATCTTTGAAATCGCTCCAGATGTCTGGCTGCTATTATCTGTCTTCTTTTTTTTTTTTTAAATGACATGACCACAGGATTTGGGTGGTGGGGGAGTAGGTAGCTAGGGGAGGTAAGAGTTTTATTGAAAACAAGGATGGGGTTAGAAAATGGAAACAATTATGGATAAATTGAATAGCTTTGACCTGTGCTCTAAGAATTTTATTTAACACAGGAATAACTGTATTTATCTATCAAATACTGAACTGAGAACATGGCACAATGGAGAAAATGATTATGAATGAGTATCTCTGCCCTTAATAAACTGAAACTCTAGCTGCAAACAAAAAAACCTGATCAGGTAAACATCTCAGAGACTTTACAATAAAATCTCCCAAAAATGCAGATAACAAACTTTATCCTACTTGACTGAGATTAAACTGTTAGGAACAGACCTCAGGAAAATGGGTAAAGCAGCAAGTAGGGAAAAAAGTTTCAAAGAGGGAGCTGGGTTAGAAAATGTAATACATGTTTACAGTATGCAGCTTCCTTTCACCTTTTACCCCTCAACAGTGCCTGATCTCTCCCTGTCCCAAAGATTCAGCCCTTTAATCCCCTGCCCATCAATCCTACCCATTCAATCAATAATCACTTAACAAGTGCCTACTGTGGAACTGGGCAATGTGCAAATTCTGAGACAAACACAAACAATAATATACGATCCTCTCTACTGAAGTAGTTCAGCTTTTGCCTAAGACACCACATGCCCTTTGAAGGAAAAATGAATCCAAGATTAAAGTCAGGGAAACACTGCATTCTTTATAGGCCCCCTCTAGGAGAGTCATAATACATGTTAAAAGTACTGAGAAGTTTCACAGCAAAAACAATCTTTTTTTTTTTTTTTAATTATTTATTTATTTATGGCTGTGTTGGGTCTTTGTTTCTGTGCGAGGGCTTTCTCCAGTTGTGGCAAGCGGGGGCCACTCTTCATCGTGGTGCGCGGGCCTCTCTTGCTGCGGAGCACAGGCTCCAGACGCGCAGGCTCAGTAGTTGTGGCTCACGGGCCTAGCTGCTCCGCGGCATGTGGGATCTTCCCAGACCAGGGCTCGAACCTGTGTCCCCTGCATTGGCAGGCAGATTCTCAACCACTGCACCACCAGGGAAGCCCA